TTCTTCATAACTATCCCAACCATCATCTCTCTGTTACCAGAGAAAAAAATGTTGCAAACCACAGTATAGTATGAATGAAGCTAATTCATGTTTCAGCTAAAAAAAAGGCCAAGTTGTTAGCACGTGTTTGCTGTGGAACACGAATCCAGAAATGACACGCCTGTGCTGTAAAATCACTAACAATTACCCAGATCTCTAAAAACATTTTTCAAAAACTTACGTGGCTCTTCGAGTTGTTTCTGTCAGCTGCCACGGGCCCACCTGCAGATGGCAGAGCAGCACCACAAACTCCCCAGCAGGCTCTATAAAACCTAGCTATTGGATTTAGCTTTCACATGAATTTAAAGGGAATTACCTAAATCATCTCACCCACAAACCCCATCTGTAGCCAATTAGCCGCTCTTAAAAAGAATGATACAGATTTGAAGTCCATCCTTTTGTAAGGAAAGGCAACCTGCACAGGGGAAATACACTATTACAGGGAGTTTATGTATTGGGTACAATTGATTCTATTCCTAATAGATCTAAAATGAAATAAAAAAGCAAAGGAGTAAAAATTTAGAAAATAAACAGTAAATATTCTCTCCTACATCTAAAAAGCATACCCTCCTTGGACACCAAAGATAACATGCCACAGTGTGAAGTCTGTCTCAGTTACCAGTTATGCGCTTTCTTGCAGAGCCAAGGACCCACCATCACAAGGACAACCATTTTCCCAATTCCACTCGGTATTGCCTAATCCACACAGCTTTAGGGAACTAAACATTCAGAACAAATCAGGCTGGATGGGCAGCGTTAACTGGCTCACTGTGAGCCGGTTCCTTCAACACAGGAAGTTCTTCAGCTTGTTAGTAATTTCAAGTCTTTCCATTTGAGCCTTTCTACCCTCCAGATCATTGTTTAAAATCTGAGAGGCTTTTTTTTTTTTTTTTCGAAATAACTTCTTCTAGGACAGGACCAGGGAAAGGTGAACTATCTGGCCCTCTCTACAATAGCAAAGAATACGCAATAGTCTAATTTTGTTTTAACCACTACCTTATGAAGTAAATGTAAAATCATAAGTCATTTGAAATTATTCTCTGAAGAAGAGACTGGCCCCACAAGGAAATCTTGCAAGTCTGGCATCAGAGGATTAACAGAGCACCAACTGCTTAGTCAGCAGGCTTCATCTCTGACGATGAAGAAATGGCTCTGACCATGCCCCATGTGGTACGGAATATAAGGAAGAACGTTTACACCAAAGAAAACACTGCCACCACCCAGCTACAATCCTCAACCTCATTTGCAAAAGCGATGTTTTTTCAGTTCAAGGAGCACAGCGAGTTTCAGTTCACTACTGGGAGCAGTTTAGAAAACAGAAGTTCATAAGTATTTAAAAAAAAAAAAAAAGGTTCAAAATCTCTTTCACAGAAGTATCTGCTTTTCCACTGACAGGCTTCTTCAAATATTTTCCCATCACTACGGTTGGCAGGAGGAACATGCATGGTTTCTTACTCTTGGAACATCTCAGACTTCTCCAGGCATTAGATAGCGAGCAATGCCTGCAAGATGTAGTCCTCATTAACATGTAGCACAGTCAGATGTTTCTTTCACAAAAAGGTGGAGACAGTGCATCAGAGGCTCTCTGTGGGGTGTGAGGGGCTGGGACACACACACAAAAAACCCCACAACTCTCTCCAAAATGTAAATACATATTTAGCATTAGTTCAGTGCTCCAGTTGAGCAACCCGTCCCTAACAATCAACATGAGGGGAAAATCACCCCTTGCCCACCCATAAATGTTCCAGCCCTGGAATATTAACACCTTAACAGCATTGCTTCTGGCAATCAATTTCATTCACATTGAGTTTTGTCAAAATAAATAATTGCACGACAGACACTCCCAATCTACCTCATTTACAACAATCACAACCTTCTCTTCACAAGCTCTTTCACCTTTCTAAAATTAATAAACACTGATGCTCTTCATGCCTTTCTTCATAAGAGAATGCATCCATATTCCTGATCATTCATATCAGCTGCTTTCAAAACACAGTCCAAGTTCTAACACTTTTTATGACCGGGTGTCTGCAGGTTGAGATAAGTCATAAGAGATTTTCTACATTATCATCCTTCTGCTCCTTATACACACACTTTATACACACTCCCTGCACCCCAAGTTTTTACTATATTTGGGTCCTGAAAGCAGAAAACACCACTGAGATGCCCACAATGATGCTTATGTCTTTTTTCCTCTGATTACTTCCTTGGCTATCTTAGGGATTTAGAAGTCTTAAATAGAATGCTCCCCACCAGAATTCAATCTGCTAAGATCAGAGCCATCCGTCTTAAGAGTAGACGATGAACTGAAGGTCATCCCCTGAAATCCTCGTGTATATTTAGAAGGCACACAGATCAGATCAACATCTATCATCCCACGATGACAGCACTCAGCATTCAGCCTGCCCTGGCTTCTTTCTCAAGTCAAGGATCTAGTGGCAACTGCTATGCAGACACATTAATCCAGACTATCACACATGCAAGAGCTGAAAGATTCTGTCTAACAATAAATTGTGTTTATGTAGTTTAGCATGTTAGAATTTGATGTACTTCCAGTTCTTGAGTTCTTGCTGATAAGTAGCCTTGTCTCAGAAACTGAAAACTAATTGCTATAGATCTACTATTGTTAATTTATCTTTTTGCTTTGCAAATGCTTTCAAAAGTTGAAAATAATGCAATATAAGCACAAACAATCTGTAAGATCAGTAGCGGTTAGAAAGTAAGAAAACACATTACCGAGTGCCAGCAAAGCAATTTAGCAAAAGAAAATCCACTCATACCTACAGTGCCAAAAAGAGGAAGCAGAAACAACGCACACAGCTTTGAGTATTCTGGCTTTCCCATGCCACGCTCCCACTTCTCTCTAGCTCTCTGTCTATTGTATTATAACAAATAATAAAAGCATTAAATGCTCTAGCAATCAAGGCTTGCATATTAAAATGACACACTGCATTACTGAACCTACTCATCTCTTAATAGAGCTATTCTTCAAAGGAAATTAATTATACTGGCAAGAGACCTTTTGCTATTCTAATTTGTGAAACGTATTTCAATACCACAAGCAAATTAAAACTGCTGCAAAAATGTAACTGGCTCCAAGATCCCAGGACTCACTGCATTTACTTAGGTGTTCATCTTGTGACCAGCTCTTTTGTCATTGCTTTAGAAGCCCACTTCATACAAAAATTCTTAGTTTCTAGGCTTAAATAACTGCAACTGTAATTAACATACAGCCCACCATAAACTATAGAGAGATAGGAAGGTGACTATACACTTCAGTACCTAAAACCATCACAGAGGGACAATACTGGATTTATAGCTGAATTTCTCTGCTTTAATTAGAAAGCAGAGAATTTAAAATTGTTTTAAAACAAGTTACTGGCATTGCATTTTGTATCAGAACATTTGATAGACAGTTCAAACACTGCCATGACAAACTGAAAATGCATCATATTAGTAATGTGCAGAAGGGTAACACACAAACACATCCGCAGCTCGCTGAATTGTACACAGCTGTTAAGCAACAAACTAGTATTCCAAATTAAATATGCGAGAACTAATGCTTTGCTTTAAAGCACTGTTATTTTCATTAACTCAAGCTATGAAGCTTCAAGACATTTGCCTGCCTCTAGAGAACAGGCCTGTATTTTAACTTATTACTTCTTTTAATTCCCATCAGATAAATACTTAGATGCCAAGTTCATGTGAGAATTTTCCCTTCCTGTTCATATAGTCAAATTATAACCACTGCTAAGAACAGAATTTTAAGGCAAACACTGAACAGGCACCAAACTAAGACACAATACAATTAAATCAAATCAGAAGAATTTCAATAAAGTAGCATGTCTGAAAATGCTAAGACTACAAGTACTGCATTGTGAAATCAAAATTAGTGGTAGCACAAGTGCATGGCTTTTTGGACTTTAAAGATTCAAGTTTCTTTTCATAGCCTGGTGTTGCCAAACTGTCCAGTATCCCCACAGAAATTCTCAGGGCTAACAATCTAGGGGCTATATCCAAGGTACACCCTTTTACTTAAGGGGTCGCTGCTTCTAAAAGGTCTTACAATGTAATAAATTTACCCGGTTACCTGCCGCTCTATAAAGTAGTGCTATTGACACATCAAAATTTCCTCATTTGAGTTAAACTTGTTATACAGGCAACTCTACGGAAGTTTGTCAAATAAAGCTTTAGCTTTGTTTTTAGTCTACTATTTAGAAACAATTTCTGTTGCATATATGACTGCTCACAAATAACGGTCTTCTGCTACTCTTACATTTTTCTTCTCTTTGCACTTCAGTGATTTTAGATATTTAGAGGTAATAAGGAACATCTACAAACAAAATATATGTTCCTGTTGGTTTGCAATTTGGTCTTCATTATAGCCATTTGAGTTTCCCCTCCAATACAGAACACTCTCTTCTTGGAAAATGTTAATTTAGCAGATGCAACATTCTTCAAAAATACACTCACTTTACCAAAACCTTTTGACAGAAACCATGCAAAAGAGCAGATGTCAGTTCCAGCTCTTCAATTCCTTGGACAGTTATTCATTTCTGCTTCTTCCCCCCAGATATTCTCTAGGGAAACAGGCAGAGGCAGCTACTCAGAACGCTGTTTCCCAATTAAACCTGTTTTAAATGGTCAAGTTCCCATGCTCACATCTCCCCTAGACTTCAAGTGATATTTTCTTTCAGGTATCAGGCAGCTTAAATAGCATTGAGGAGCTTCCTCAAAAATAATTTTTTCTTCATGCACACCTTTTTTCCTGCTTTTTGTTAAAAGCAGGATGAACGTACTCTCCTCCTAATTTGCCCTCTACCCTAAAAAGGGCCCACAGGAACAAAATGCTGCATTTACCAAGCAGGAGCAGGGAAAGCAAGGTAAAAACTAAAGCACAGGATCAGACCACTTCTTATTCACAGCACAAAATCTTTACGAGTATTCCCAGACTCACTCACCAAACCTGCAGTAAGTGAAGGAGCAGACTGTCCTAGGGACTGATTTCTCATGCGGACCAGGTTTGAGGTATCTCCAGGTGGCTGCCATATCGTCTGTCCCACTCCACTGTGGACACTATTTGATAAGGGAAGCAGCTGTTTTCCTTTAAAAACAAAACCAAAATACTATCAGCTCATTTTTAAACAAGTTTGCAAGTTCAAAACACAATGCTGTAAACAAATACTGCATGTGGAGAAAAAGCATTTAATAAAAAAAGCCATTTAAAGGTTTTGGTAGGTTAGAACTTGTAAGTGCATACTACCTATGAATTCATTAAGTTCGATAACTATTTCCAAAAAATCTAGTTTACATTATGAGGTAGTGGGTAAATCCAAAACCTTGTAGAAATGGACTTTATCATTTTCTACTTTTCTATATTTCACACAGCTTAAAAAGGAAGCAATATTTACTGCCAATAACAATTTATTGCCCTATAGGAAGCGTTCATGTTGCAAAATCTCGAGTATAATTTTGAAAATTCCTATGAAAATGCATTCATAATTGTAAAATATTAGCTATTTTAAACTGTGTACCCATCTAGACATCCCCACTTTCCCCTGACATTGGAACATTCAGCAGTAGATTTCATGCACTGCGATTAGAATATAGTGTATGTTTAAACATTGCTTTGCTTTGAACCATGGATGGATATTTTCTGTCTAAAAAATTTCACTGTTCAGCAATATCATACTATCTTAAAAGCAATATATTCTGTAGCTTTCCCAAGTCTCCCTTGTATCTGATTGATTAGTGTAGACAGTAATCTCCCATGCTACAGGCACAAACAGCGAGAAGAGTAGTTCTTATCTCAACAAGTTCACACCATTGTACTTTACTGCAGGAAGTAAAGTAATAATTTAAAGGGATTTGCTCAATACATTTTTTTCTAGTCAATATAACACTCCTTTTTGAAAAATGTCAAGCAGTAAATTTCCACAATGAGAAAGAACTAAAGTCAAAGTAGGTCATATGTTGACTCCATCAAGCCTGACAGTTTCCTTTTATGTACAATGTCATTCACACAAAAAAGAGAAGAAAGATAGTCTTGTGGTTAAAAACACATAAGTGAAAAAGTCTGTAAATCTGGGTTCCATTATTAGCTTCCAGATGACTTCCTCTGTAACTCTGGTCAGTCAGCCTCTGTACTTCAGTTTCACTATCTGCAAAATGGGAGTGAAAAACACCTCTTTTCCTTAAAATTGGGACTGTTAAAATTACACACACCCTTCACTTCCAAGCATGGTCAAGATAGTTGCATTCAACAGATCATTACATGCTCAGATACTAGAACAGGAATCACAGGGGACTAAGACATTTGTTGCAATAAGTAGCAGGAAAAAGTCTACATCTTCAATCACATATGCTGCAGAAAAACACCTTTTTTCCCCCAGAGGCAGCAAGCTATTTTGCAAATTCAACTTCACCTTAGAATTAGATGTGAAATATTACATTCATTACACAAAAGTGGATAGAATATTTGGAAGACTGGCACATAATCCTAAACCAACCAGTTTGCATGCACAATCATCCATACGCTTTAAACTTAATTGCCTCTCCTGCAAAAAAAAATAGGTGGAATTATTTTTGGGATGGAGCTTGAAGCTAGAGCCTTGCCCTGCCATGCCTCAAGTCCTATGTACATTTCCAAACCCCACATTTAAAGCACATATGTAAACATCTACATTTCCTTTATCCAATTGGGTCAAACTTGTTGGGGCTCTTTTCCCTTTCCCGAATCAGGCTGCAGTAGATTGAAAAGTCATTAAGATTAAACAAGTTTTGGAAAACATTATAATTTCAGAAAAGAAAATGTACAAGAGTGTTATCTCCAAACAGAAAAATTATTTTTAAAAAAGAAACTGAACTTCTCCAGTTTTCCTGCTTCCTCCTACTTACTTTTCTTTGCTTACTTCTACTCAGGCAGAAAAAAAAAAAAAAAAATCAACCCTAACAGTACTTTCTTGATTCACTGTAATCAGACAACAGCTGTGTCATTAATAAACTTGTTCTCCTCGAGCAATTAACCTGCCTTAGAGAACAAACTTACGTGAGTGCAAAACATTATGAATGTTTCCATTTTTCAGAAACAAGCCACTTATTACAAATAAAACATTAAGACAAGGCCAAGCAAAAATAAAACATGCATACTTTACTGCTTATTTAATTCCATTACACTTAGCACCTCAAACATTAAAATATTTATCTTCCCCTGATAAAGGACAGAGGGACCAGGACTAGATGTATTTTCATAATCCTGTAAGTCAGGCCCATGCTGCTGCCAAAGGGGATGGTTTCACCCTCTTCCTCTTCCACCTCTGAGTTTCCAACCCTTCTTATCCTTGCACTGACATGCAAATAGTCAGCATAACCAGGGAGGAAATGGGCTGCAAGTTAACCCTACAGAGCAGCTGTGCTCTTCAGGCAGATCAGCTACTGCATTCTAGACTGATCATGCAGCTCTGTATGTTCTAATGCATCACAAACTTTGATGCCAGCTTTAAACAATTGTGAAATTATTCCCTAGCCCACATATGAAGTCTTTGAAAAAGAAAACTACTGAGTTTGGTCCTCTATATTTTGGCTAATTACTAGACTATGCTTGCTCCATGGTTCTACCAGTGACAAACTAAATTCTTTGACAGGGCTGAAGACAGTGTTCACAAGAAAAAAAAACAAACTTCATATAAACTGAAAAAGCATCTAGCTAGTAAACAGGATTTTTACTTTGAATCACAAAAGCCTACAGTGCTTTTGAAGCCAAAAAGAAACTAAATAATTCAAACCTGACATAAAAGTCATGTTCCCAGTAAGAAATAATATGGCAAAGTAGGCAACCTTACAGTCAGTGCTGACCTTAAAAAGTCAAAGAGGTGAGAATGCATCACTGTGTTGCCTAAAGCTCCACTGCTCCCATCTTTTAACTTTGCACATCTGGTCTTAGCTTCTAACTTTTCACTCTGGGCAATATACAGAATTTCACTCCAAATCCCATCTTCCTTTCACTCTTTTCTACTAAGATCTCTTTTTGCATCTTTCTCTTACATAAAGCATCATATGTCCTCCCAACAAGAGGTCACCTCTAGTTTTAAAGAAACAACTTGTCATTGCCTTTTATCACAACTGTTATGCTAACAAGTAATACTGCACCTTTAATGAATTGTCATACAGTCTTTACAAAGTGGCATACCTGACAAAGAACTTGCCAAACTACCTCTTCGTAGCTTGCAGTCATCTTGACTTAGCTGACGATGGAGCTTAGTTTTCCCAGCAGATGATAAGATGTCAGGATTGCTGAGCTTCCTGCAGCGTAATGGAGCCGACTCTGTTATCATCTCCTGTACAAAGAAAACCAAGCAGAAGTTTGTTAATGGCAGCTAAGTATCTGTTTTCTGAAATATACAATCTCCAAAGCATAAGAGACTGTTTAAAAAAAAAAAAAAGCTTGAAATTCTAAATCCCCCTCTTTTGTGCCACATATCTGCACAGAAAGCACATCACAAGAACCCAGTCAAACACGGTCCTTGAACATTATTGCTGTAAGGAATATCATTAATAATAGTCAAAAAGAAGCAATTACACTAGAGCAGTTATCTGCTCTTACAGTATGTAGGAAAAGAGGCTACTGAAAAATCAGGTTCAGATTTGATTCCAGCCATTCCTTGCTAAAGCAAAGAGTATTTTCTCCAAATTTCTTGAATATTTTATTCCATCCAGTCTCTGAGTAAAATACCTATAAAGAAACTGTTGCAATGTCTAATTGCAACCCAAAGTTCCTATTATAAGTTACAGCTCTACTACAAGACCATATGTACCCCTAAATAATAATTAGGATAGAGATCATCCTTTGTGTAACGTCTTTGTTATTACTATAAACCAAATTAGACATGTATTTGTTCAGAAACAACCCCACACATGTTCCTTTCACAGCATAGCAAACTTTCAGTTAAAATTGTAGGTAGAACAACAGCGAGCACAACCACAGTGCTTTCCTCACACATTAATTGTTCTGGAGGTGTCACACTCTCATTTCACACCCAAAGACGAACGAGGAGTATAGCTATCATACATGGATTTGAAGACAATGTGACACTTTCCACTATAGCCTAAATAGATGCACTTGGTCAAATTCTCCCTTCTCTGCAGCAGTGCAACATGTTCCACATGTCTTAATGGAGCACTCCATTTTATTTCAAACGTCTCTCATTAGCTATACAGCACTTCCAGCCATTATTATCCTCATCCGAGGCAGAAAATGAACCGAAAGGAACACTTGCCCTGCATGATACATCACCACACGGTTTAACATAATTTTAAATCATGTCTTCAAATCATGTTTAAATCAAAAATTAATTTACCAGTAGTGGGTTTTAATTAAAATTTGCAGATTCCAGTCAAAAACTATTTCTGAAGTAATTAATTCAAATCTATTCAGTCTACAGTGTTATGCCTCAAACTGTCAAATCTAGACCAGGACTACACACTCTAAAAACTACAAGAAATTGGGCGGGGGGGGCAGCGGGGGGAAGAAAGGACACAGATAAAGTGGTTTTCCATGGGAAAAAAAAAAATTGGATTTGAAATAGAATCCTCACTTAGCTCCGAGTCACTCATTCTCAACCTTTCTTAGACCCTATCTTTTGGCCTCATAATAATAAATATCTTTGTTATTTGTTCTAAGGACAGGAATGCTTTGCTCCCTATCTGCTTCAGTGGTGCACCTTTCACAGGTTGAGAGGTGCTGCGCTGATACAATTTCTTCCTCTGCTTATGGCTAGACATTCAGTCACCACACTGTCTAAATCAGGTCGAGAGAGATCTGGTTGACTTAACCATCAGTCAGTTCACTTATCCAGTTCATCACACAGCTGCAAACAGTTGTATTGGTGCAACACACACAAAAACAAGTGACCTGAGGTAGAGAAAACTGCTTGAGCTGGAAACTGCTTTCATCTTAAGGTTCCTCATAGACATCTTGGAGCAAAGAACCTCACGTTTTCATTTACCTCTGACCTTTTCCACAAAGGTACTGGATACCTTCATTTCCAACAGCCTATGCTTCTGTTTTTCTGTCACATGGAGAGCTGAAAAGACACCTACCACACTTTCTGTCTGTACTTTGTACTTAGGAGTAACCTAAGTAATTCTAAATTGCGACATGAGCAGTCCGCCAGCATGCCTCTGCAGGCTGCAAAGGCCAAGGGCAGAAAGTCTTCGCTGCTTCTATATGGGATGGCACAAAGTGGTTACACGTGTATGCACATCTAAGTAGACATACAAAAACATACACATGCACTTGGAATACGGCCTAAGTGCCTATAACATCTAAAATCTGTGATGTGCTTCCCAGTTGCGACAGTCAGAAATTACCATACCTCAAAATGGTATGGTCCTCCTCCTCACCAGGACTTGTACCACAAAGATACGAAAAGAAGAGCAGAAACGTAACAGCTTCCCACACTCACCAATCTTCTACAGGAGAAAAGCTTAGTACATACTACATATGGAAAATTCTTCACACGCTCTTTTTTTGTTAAGCACATTAAACGCTTCAGCAATATTCAGAAGGCTACAGAGCTGTTGAATGTTTTGAAGGATGGGACCTCAATCACATCCTTCAGGTTTATAAAGTATTAAACTCATTTTTCAAATATAAAAAAAAAAATCCAGTGCACTGTTCTGAGACAGCCTATTATGTTTTTAAAAATGCTAAGTACAACATGGTCGGTTTAAAATTTTGTTTTTTAAGAGCTATGCCTGTATTGTGTCAGTAGAACAATGAAGAGGGAAAGTTTTAACCTGGCAACAATAGAGATGTCTTTCGTAAGACTGTAATTTGTTTCACTCATCTATCAAAACTCAGCTTTAGTCTTGCAGTTCATAGACGACTACGTGGAAATAGCAATGGTGTATGTTACCACTCTTAAACAAGGAAGGAAAAAAACCCACAGGAAGAGATTTTTCCTTGTACTTGCCCCAATGCAATATGCAATACATACAAAGGACAGAAAAATCTTACACAACATTCCAAATCAATGGATAAAGAAACTTTTACAGTGACAGTGCAAAATTCTGCTTACATGCTTTCAAATTACTAAATTAGACTACCAGAGCAAATGGTTGAAGAACAATTACATAGCACAGACTGTCATAATTTTAAGGACCCCACTTCCACTTTTGAAAAGAAAGAATTCTTGCAGCTTTACAAATGAAAGCATATATTAGTAAGCATATAACTGAAACACTTCACTCACACAGGATGAAAAGGACTGTGAGCCTCTGTCCTTTAATTTCTTTCCAAGGGTGATAGAAAAAAAACTTCTTAGTTTACTTTGGCCTTGTGTCTTTTGACACAAGCTAAAAACCAGGCTCAAACAGCCAACTGAATCCTGCACAGTTTAGGACTGAAGACAAAAGCATCACACAAGGAATCTTGATTTGTTAGGCAAAGATTATTCCTATCGGTCCCTTCAAAGGTATACAAAAGTTTGGTCACATAACTTGCAACCACAGGATATAAAGAAGAATGGACAAAGCTTTTCTTGAATAGTGGGAGGCTCTGCATTTTTCATCTCAGTCACTTACACACTTGCACAGAACCACCATTAAAATAGCTGTGGCACTAGAAAGACATACAAGTCCGCTTCTCTTGCCTGAAATCTCCCACAGGGTTTATTACACTCAGCAAGATGAAGAATCAGACAGATATCAACAATAGGTGCAAAGACAAGAATCCAAATGTGCTTCCTGATGTGTAAGATGACACCAATATCCTACATTAAAATCCTGACCTAGTAATTTCACAATACAGCTCCAAGGAACCTTCTCCGTCATCTTTTCCATTCCATTGCACAGGAAAAGTCTCCCAAGCAATTCAAGAAAGAAATAAAAGAACACACACATATACCACTGCAGTGACCTTCAGCAGCTTTTTTTATTTTAATGTTCATTCAAAGATGCTGCAAGAGAGTGACACAGCACAGATCCTTAATCTACAAATGGCACATGAATACCAAAATTATGGGTGCACGTTGAAGTACTTCCTTGAATTGCCGGATGAAGTACCATACAGTTAGCGAGATGGATATATCAGCAACAGATGAACGTTAGGAAAAAAACCTTCTGACCTGTCTTTATGGCCTATATTTAAGATGTAACAGATCATACAAAGGAGCACTTCCTAATGTGCAATTGTGTTACAACTAACTCAAAAATATATTTTTCCTAGAAATCTCTACAACAAGCAAAAATACTCAACTGTGTCTAACACACATTCAAATCTGCAGGTCGAAACATATTAAACTATTAGCTGGTGGGGGCAGGGGAAAAAAAAAATCTGCAAAAAAGTTTTATACAAATAGGTAGTCAATCCATGAACAAGAAAAATGAGAAATCGTTCTTTTAAGCCTAACAAACACAATAACCTAAGGCCATCTGGAAGTGAATTCTAGCAAATTGTTGGAAGGAAGAAAAGAATGAAAATTTAAATACAATAAATTGTCAGAGAATACCCTAATATTACCCTATTTTGTAAGGTAGACAACCAATGAATAATGCAACTCAAGGATAACATGACACTTTCTGAATTTTTTTAAGCAATAAAAATAGTCAACACCAAAAGCTGCATTTTCTATTTTTTAATACGGTACTGTTTGTCATTTAAAAGATAAAAGCCTGTCTTGTCAGGATTGTGTGCACATATCTGAGTATTCTTTTTCTTCTCAGCCTTTCCTCATCAGTTTATATAATGAGTGTACATACCCTCAACAGAAGATAAATCTGATCCTGTCATTAGATCTGCTCTAATACACTGAAAAATAAAATTAAAGGCCTAGATGACAGATTGCAAACCAAATATCTGTCTAAATAAGTAGCAATTAATACAATGCAATCATAGTTTTTATCCTTTAGTATCTAGCACTGAAATTTGCCTTAACTTTCTAGCCTGGACATGACATGTTGAGGGAAGATGGCCAGCAGTTTACCAGGAAGCTGAAGTGAGCCCAAATGTGACCAAAATTGTAGTATTCAAATTTTTGAATAAGAACTTGCAACTAAGACTCTTCTTAATTGTATTTGCCAAACTCATGTACTTGCCAGCAGCATCCTGAAAAATGTCAGAGAGAGCAGAATCAAGGAAAATTACATTAAATCAACATAGCCTTTTAGAGGCTATAATATATTGGTTTACTATATCAACAAGGGAGAGAAGCTTTACAGAATATATTACATTATATAAAAGTGTCAGTATTTTAAAGACAGAAAAGAGTTTCGCAATATTTTTTCTCTTTAGTAGATTTATTTGAAGAACTTTGCAGTAAATCCCAACATTCCCACA